GTTGTCAATTTCAGTTCTTCATACATGAATATGTGGCCGCCATGGTAACAAATATCTGCTATGAAGCAAATAGTGTTGGGATCTATTTCTATAGCCACAGATTAATACACTTTGTGTAGTAGTCTTGAAGAAAAATGGGTCAGTATTCACAAGGTGGTTACCTCAAAGTTCTCAAGGAATGTTCTGTCCACAACCGTATACGGAGACGAAGGCTCTGCTTCAGTGAACCGCGCGGCGTCCGACTTTAGAGCTCTGACTTTGGCCTCCTGTCTTGGCCTTAAAAGGAATAGTGTATCACCCTCTCTGCCCGCCATAGATAAATTGAAAGATAACGCTCTTTAATGTCTCTCCTCCTCCCTGTCCCCTGCATCCCTGCGTCGGGGGACGAGGTTCACTCGGGGGCCAAGCTTCATTTCCGTAATTGAGGACAGAAAAAGAAATCCCGACACACTGGTTAGTTAACAGCGCGCTGCCCCTCTCTCACCCCGACACGCACGCACGAGCGCCGAGCGAGCCGAGGCCCGTTTGTACAGCTAATTAGCATTGGCTCTCGGTGTGTGTGCGTATGTGTGTGTCTGCGTGTGCAATAGCTGGATAGGGTTGAGCTCCGTGGCCCAGTTTGGGCTGAATAAGGGAGAATGCCGTGATGGAGAGACAGGGGTTAGGAGGGAGAGATATAGATAGAAGTGAGAAAACGAGAGGGAGGGAGACATGATGGAGTTGTCAACTAAAGCACCCGGTCCCCAGTGTGTTCCCTCAGTGTGAGTGTGTGTGTGTGTGTTTGCACCATGTTTTTTCCACCGCGGTGTCATTACCAGCTCTCCCAGTCCCACGGGAGTCCGTGTTTACCCAGCGAGGCTTCTGAGCTGTTGCTGCAGGAGCCGCGCTTCCGCCGTCGCCATTGGGAACCAACAGACGCGCCAGTGGGGGGTCGGGGGGGGATGTCACCTTAAAAAACGAGGCCTGTGCGTTTTGGGACGTCGACGGGTGGCTGAACTGAAACGCTGAATCCGCGCGTCCACCCACTCCATCTGACGGTGCGAAGCGGCTTGTTCCTCAATGTTCACACAGGGGAGAAAAGGGGGAGATCATCTGGGCAAATGCGTAACAAACACGCAGACCCGCGCTTCATGTTTCTACATATAAAAGAGTTTGAATAGAAACCTGCAACTCAAAAACTGTAATCTGAACTTTAACAAATTGCACACAAAGAATAGTGATTTAGTGCCAAAACCAACAGCGAGCTGTAACTATTGTGTAGCCAATTGAACCAGCGGATAAAACAAGCTTGCTATTACAGAACCCGCTTAGAACAAAAGGTAGAGAGAGAGCGGCAGCACTCACACTGGAAAATGTGATTTAACTTTTTATTATCTGAGCATTTAAACTTTTTTCACCGTGAGACCGTGTCTATGCCATTCAGTGTCTCCAATCCTGCATGTCCGTTGGGTTGCATGATCAAAAGTAATAATGATAATAAAGGACCTAAACTTTGCGAAGCTTTGAGCGCCGCCACGCTAACATGCTCACGATTAATCGTTGACTAATTCTATGTTGTGAAGCTTTAATTGGCAACCGTGTGACTGGTTATTAGCACCAAACACAAAATGGAGTGGAAGCTATTGGGATTAGCATGAATATCTTGTGGGCGTTTGCTGATAATTGCCTCTGCTACTCGATGTCTTTGTTGATTGGGTTGAGATTGTTTACATAAAGCGTAAGAGCCTCAGGTAAAGCCAAACGGAGACTACTTGCAATAAAGTAGCGGTGAGACATCTCACCGCCATTCTGAATAATAATGCCATGATTGATGAACGCGGAGGGTTTATTCTAGGAGCCACGGGCCTCTGGAGCAATGGTTTCGGGGATGAACCCATCACAACTTTATATTTATGATGATGAACCATTTCCAACTGTTCTGTAGAAAGACTGCTTTATTGCAGTGAACGTCGAAGAATGCTTTGATAGCAGACTCGAACATATGGCACCATCGTGAATATATTTGATGAAAATGAGGAGTTTGTTATACATTTCATTTTAAGATAAATGAAAGTATCTTTTTGTTTTTAATGTTTGCGTTTTGGGTGGGGCGGGGTCTTAGTTTTTAGGAAATGAGCTAGGACAAATAATTTTTTGATGTCACAGAAAGATTTAGTTGTGGTAGTACGAGGCAACGTGATGAATCCCGCTGCTGATTTGACCGTAAACATAAATTATACATTATACATATCCCCTTTAAAGGAATACAGAGACAGTTATGGCGCATACAGAGATGATGAATAACACAAAGTAGACTACTGATCAGCGTACATATGCTGGAACACTATTGCACAACTGGCTGTAGTGTGACACGAGGTAGAACCTCCGTGTCCCACTGTAACCAGTTCATTGTACCTCCATGTCCCACTGTAACCAGTTCATTGTACCTCCCTGTCCCACTGTAACCACTTCATTCTACCTCCCTGTCCCACTGTAACCACTTCATTCTACCTGCGTGTCCCACTGTCCCACTGTAACGACTTCATTCTACCTCCCTGTCCCACTGTAACCACTTCATTCTACCTCCGTGTCCCACTGTAACCACTTCATTCTACCTCCGTGTCCCACTGTAACCACTTCATTCTACCTCCGTGTCCCACTGTAACCACTAACTATTTGATCCTGGAGGTTTCCAACATGATAGACATAAAGTCACATGACATGAAGCAACGCCACTACTGGAGCTCCAGCTCTGCAGCTAGAGCACCGTGCCCACCGTCACGACACAGCTTTTCAGAAAGGACCCTTTTTTTATTGTTGCTCTGGACAAAATATAGAAGCCTGCGGAGACACACACACACAAGAAGCACTTTTAGTAAGTCTGTGTTTTGAAGCCATGTGCCCTCAAACAGTGCCTCTCTTAATAAAACATGGTGGTTCCTTGTTAATCTTTAATAGTTCTGTCCTTGAGAATTAACCCAGATGAACACACATATAGGGCACCACACAAACACACACACACGTTCTTCCTTCTCAATCTTATTCTATTTTCCCCTCACTTCATCTACCTCCCGATAGTCCTTTCCCCTCTCCTTTCCTTCCTCCTTTTCCTTTATCGTTGTCTTTCCTTTACATTCCTTGGGAACAGAAGAGAAGGACAACCTCAGGTGGGAGAATAAAACAGAGGAAGGTTGTTGAAGAGGCCGGGTGAAGAACACAGAACAATCTGAGGGAGAGGAAAGAAGGGAAGGAGACAGGAGGAGAAAGGTGGAGCAGCAACCGGAAGGAAAAGGACAAACTTGGCATTGAGCGATCGATCGTGGGGTAATTCGATAAAAGATTCATGTTGCAATGCTCGCTGGGAGGTTTGCCTCAGGGCCGGGGCGGCACACCTGGTCTACATCTTTCTGTTGGCTATCGCTTGTGTGTAATTTGGTGATGTGGATGGTAATGATTGTCAGATTAGGATTATCCGGTTGATTACATCTAGATTATTGCGGCAGTCCAACAGCAACCCCCCACCGACCCGGCTTTGAGTCACAGTCATCGCCGCCGGGCCTCTCCATCTCCTGTCGGACCCAGTGAAACGCACAAAGAGCCGGCCAATAACAACCGCAACCGAGGAAACCGTTTTGCTTTTTAAATCTCGTGCTGCGGCTCGCGGCTCTCCGTTCTCCCTCGTTGCCGGGTCACGTGACGCCATCTGCGGCACCCACGGTCCGTCTGTGAGCGGTCCAGCGCCGCCCCCTGCTGGCCGCATCGGCGAACTGCATGACCAGTGCGCGTGTGGCTGCGCGAGGGAGATACATCTCCATAGTAACAAACGCACGCTCTCAAAGAGCCAGGTAAAGGTGTTCGCACCAACTGTCAACACATTTACATGCAGATGAAACTTTTGAATGCCATGGTGTTAGAGCGGCTACTAATACTAGTTATTTTTGCTTATAGACGGTGCAGATATGGAATATAGAGGTTGCCACTTTCCAAAGAATATTCTAATGTTGTCGATCAGCTCTCAAGAGTCTCTGTAATCCAGACACAAAACACCATATTAGTAATGACATAATAATCAGGATTTGCTTCAAACATAAGCCTACAGCCGGTTAGCTTAGCACTTCAACTGGGAACAGAGTCAAACAGCGCGCCGAAAGGTTACCGAAAAACATAAATATTGTGTGCTTAAATTATCTTGGATTGCTTCACGTTTTCCAGCACGCTGGTCTCTGATAGCGTTTTGTATGAACGGACATGTTTTTCTTTACATTAGATTTCTGACACAAGGCTACAGTCTCATGACAAATCAGGCGGACGCCGTTTTTCAGGTTTCTGGTAAAAAAAACAAATACTGAAACCCTTCCTTATTAACTTACCTTGCTGTGTCCATGACGGGTCAGAGCAGATTAAAAAAAACTAAAATGTGCCACTGACCAGTTTATTATTTGAGTTTTCTGAAAAAAAACATAAGAAGTATATATTTTAGGATGTTCCTTTTTATGAAGGTTCTATAAAATGGTTTATCAAAGCTGGTGAATCAAAGCAATCAATTGTCTGTGATTTAACGACTGGACTTGATTGATATCTCCATCAATCCCCTGTGAAACGTTAAGGGCGGGACCAGACGGGCATCGTTCCCATTGGTCGGTAGAGTCCTGTGACATCATATTGTTCCAATCATAGCTCCACCCAGCTTCAAACTGACCACAGGGCCAATCAACCACGGGACAGTTAACACCTGTGTGGGCGGACAGGGCCTTTAAGAGTTTTAGGATACGCAGACATATGAATAGCCTTGGATGTATATTCTCAATAAAAATAAAAGGTTATCAACAATCCGGTTTAAGTTGGCACATTCTAAGTGGATCTTCAACAAGTTGTGATTGCATATCTGATTATTTTTCTCATTTAATTATTAATTATATAAGTGCACTTGTATATTTTAAATAAATCAAGTCCACTGAAAGGTCTCTGTTCACTGTTAATAACAGATTTAGCATAGTCGCGTCGTGCAGACGCAAATCTCGTCCCACGCAGCGGAGCTTCAGCTCTTCTCGCCGCACCAGCGACTTGTCACCAAAGATGGCGATTTGCTGAGTGCTCATGGATACACACATTTCTCGGCTCGTCGTTGTCTCCCCAGAAACGCCAAACTTAACAACAAATTAACTGCTCAGCGACCGACTATTTCTCCGCTGGATGCCCTTCTGACCGCAACCATGCAGATCACGCTGAAAACGCTGCAACAGCAGACCATCCAGATCGAGATAGACCCCGAGCAAACGGTGAGTGGCTGCTAGCTAACTTGCTAACTTTTAGCTAACAGCACCAGCTGCGGGTGCAATGTCTCACCTTTGCGTGTAGACTTAACAGTTGTATTTGACATTTCCAACACGATAGCATTTAACGCAGTCTCTACGAAAGCGGGGCCAGGCAGCGGCACCTGCGCGAAGCGGTTCCAAAACATCGCTAAAGCTCACTCGCAACCGCTAGCTAGTTAGCTAGCAGCACGTTAACAAAAGTCCTCGCGACGCCACCGGGTTTCTTGTCGTTTTAAGTTCGCCCCGTCGGGCCGTCGCTGCTCGTCAGAAACACCCAATGTGAACGAGACTGTTCAGCGGCGACGTCTGTGGCGACCACGAGCTTCCCCCCCGCCCGCCCCGTACGGATCGACTGTCATTGCTAATGCTAACGCTTATGACACTGCTAATTACGACGAGCCTCCTTATTGGCGCTGGCTAAGTTTGTTAGCATGTTCACACAATTTGACATGGCGCTAGCTAGGCCAGCAGGGTTACTCACAGCGCACACCACCCAGATACTGCGCCCTATTCCCCTTTATAGTGTGCGGAGGGATACGCTGCATGTGGAATAAACTGGTCTTACTCATCCCACTTTAGCAAGTCAGCCATTAAGCCTCCCTCCCCGCTGAGGACACTGGTCCGCCTGGACCATTTGTAGAAAGTTGAGCTCCTGTGACGTCATGGATCCAAGCCGGGCATCTTACTACACCTTATTACATCTAATGGATATTAGTGATTAGAAATAAAAGCATTGCGAGACAAATTGGGAAGTCCTTGTGTGTCGATGGTTAATATTCCTCTCCTCTTTTCTCAGGTGAAGGCCTTAAAAGAGAAGATAGAAACGGAAAGAGGAAAAGACAACTTTCCCGTATCTGGGCAGAAGCTGATATATGCCGGAAAGATCCTGCAAGATGACACGCCCATTAAAGACTACAACATTGATGAGAAGAACTTTGTGGTGGTGATGGTTTCCAAGGTAAGATCATAGTGGATTGCATGTCCTGCTGACGTTTTAGTGTGGTCTACTTATGTGGATTTTGAAAAATACATTTTTATACAATTAAAGGCCCAATGAGTAATAGTAATAGTTCCTTTACTAGCTCTACTCATCACTCGAAGTGTGTGCCGTGTCTTTATCTGTATCTTACTCTCTGGATTTTACTGGGCGGCAACCTCATTTAAAATCAAAGCGCCTGGCTCGTAAACCTGTATCCAAGAGGAAGCTACAGAACAGGCGACCACAACGCGAAAAATAGTGAGCCAAGCCCCTAGTTGGGCCAGACAGTGGGGACTGATTCTGAATGTTGTGTATACACAACACGGGTCTAACCACACCGTCTCCTGAACTTGCTGAAAGGCTAAGCCCACCGCCGCAGCTGCCGCTGCCGCTGCCACCTCGCCCCCGGCCTCGGAAGCCCCCAAACCCTCTGTGCAGGACTCTGGCTCCACGTCGACAGCTGTCCCGGCTACAACCTCGGCCCCAGTCGCTGCCCCGGCAGCTGTCCCCATTCCCCCCGAGGAGGCCAAAGAGGAGCCAAGCGCCGACGCCACGGAGCCGCAGCCGGCCAGGTAGAAGCCGTCTGGGAGAATCCACTTTACAAAAGCAAAGTTCAATATTTAACTCGGTAGTCCTCATTGTCCAACTTTTAATGACTTACAGGTGACTTTTTGAGTTAGTCATTCGTCATTAAATGAGCACTACAGAACATAATGTTTGAATGCCTTCATTTATTATAAATAACCGTTAATTTAGCTACTTTCAATTAAGGGTCCGCTTCACTAGCGTTGATTTGTTAAATGGTTATAAATGATGCCTGGTTTCTTGCTGTGTCATAATTGACATGTTCTTTATTGTATCAGTGTGCTTAAATTGTCCTTACTGTGTTATGATAGTGACTCTCTGAGCAGATGTGCTGCAGACCTACAGCTGTGTGGCACTGAGGTCACTAAGATCTAACATTGATGTTCTCTAATATCTAAGCCAATTATTTACTTAAAGGAATCAGGAACATTTATTGCCAAAGTATGTTAGACATACAAGCACTTTGTCATGGCGGTGGGTGTGTAACCTTGGGCAGTGAGACATGGACAACAAGACAAATCACACAGAAAAATGAGCCGTCCAAAGGAAGGAATGGAGACGTGGATGTGGTCATTGTGCGTCTCATTACGCTGCAGCGTGTTGTCTGACTTTCCTCCTCGTCTCGTAGCTCCAGCGCCGCCGGTCAGGGTTTGGATGCTTCCTCAGCGCTCGGTAGGTAACGCACAAAGTCCTTTTAGACAATAGAATGTCATAAATGGGTTCACACCACAGAATTCAGTGTAAATGTAGGTTTATATTTGTTGGGCCATAAATTGTATCTGCTGTCGGGGACCTTTCAGGCCGCAGTGTGGTTTCTATATTTGGACTGTAACAAAAATACTCCGTCCCGTTGTTGTGGTGCCACAGAGGGCAGGGGGGGTTCCCATCGGTCCACTTATAGATCATTGAATGTAAAACAGTGACTCCTGCTGTCATGTGACCAAGTGGTTTTTAATTAGCTCTTAGTGATTTAAAGCACATTTGTAGTTTTGCAGTCAGTAACTGTGTGTGTGTGTGTGTGTGTGTGTGTGTGTGCGCGCTGCATTTTCAGTGACCGGAGCCGAGTACGAGTCCATGCTCACCGAGATCATGTCGATGGGCTACGAAAGGGAGCGAGTGGTGGCGGCGCTACGGGCCAGTTTCAACAACCCGCACAGAGCCGTGGAGTACCTGCTCACGGTGAGTCACACACACACACACACACACATCCATGTCTGCTCAGCGCTTGTTTCCTACACATGGACCAAATGCTAATAAACAGCAGGCATAGTCTACGCCCCCCGTCTCCAGCAGGCTCACACATGTCACATATGCTAAAGCTAAACTGGAGGGTGGGAGCCGTGTTCCTATGACAACGATAACAACAGCAAACGTATGAGTGCAGAGTGGCAGCTGCTAGCGAGCCAGTTCTGATCTGAGAAAACACACACGGGTCAAGCGAGTCACCGACTAACCCGCATGGTCTGATCTCTACCTGTGAGTGTGAGATTAACAGCGGTGTTGTGTTGCCAGGGTATCCCCAGCAGCCCGGTCCAGGAGAGCAACCCCCCGGCCCAGGCCCCCCTGTCTGGACCCCCTGAAGCCCCGCCTCTAGCCGAAGGTGAGGCACACGGCCGTTTCTCTACTTTGACATGTGACTTGTTTGTCTCGGAATGCTTCTTTGCCAAGGTCACGAGTGCGTTGCTGTCTGCCACCTCGTTGTTTCCTCACAACGCGTTCATGTGTGACGTGTGTCTCTGGGTGGAAAGAATTTTTATTATTGGGACAACAGCTGATTTGTCAATTAATTGATAATAAGATCATTCTAATTTCTTTTGATAGACACCAGTTATTTTTGATGCAAAACAGGCAAACATTCGAAAGTTCTGAGGTTTGAATATTAACTCATTGTGCTACTTTTCTCTTGAATTGCGAGTAAAAATGTGAACCGGCAAAAGGGAATGAGGAAGACCTGAGTTGTCCTGCATGTAATCTATTCTATTTTTTGGGGGGGTACTGATGGTTATTTGTTCTGCGTGGCGTTTTTAAGGAGAGAACCCACTTGCGTTCCTGCGGACCCAGCCGCAGTTTCTGCACATGAGACAGGCCATCCAGCAGAACCCCACCCTGCTGCCAGCTCTGCTCCAGCAACTAGGCCGGGAGAACCCTCAGCTGCTACAGGTGACCATCTCCACCGACACACAGCGCCCCACCCTCCCCCTTTAGCGCCGGGTGGATTCTAACCACGACCTCTTCCTTCTCCCCCAGCAAATCAGTCAGCATCAGGAGTTGTTCATCCAGATGCTGAACGAGCCAGTGGGAGAGGGGGGAGAGGCGCCAGAAGTTGGAGAGTTGGGGGCAGCGGGGGAGGAGGGCGCGCCTGTCAACTACATCCAGGTTACACCTCAGGAGAAGGAAGCCATCGAAAGGGTGAGTGTGGAAAACTTGATTCTGCTGGAAATGAGAAGCACATCCTGTCGCTGCTCACTGTCCTCCCCGGCTCACTGTCCTCCCCGTCTCACTGTCCTCACTGTCCTCTCCCCCCACAGTTAAAAGCGCTGGGTTTCCCCGAGGCGCTGGTGATCCAGGCCTACTTTGCCTGCGAGAAGAACGAGAACCTGGCAGCCAACTTCCTCCTCAACCAGGGCCTGGAGGACGACTGAGCGGCGCCGCCTCCCTGCTCCGCCCTCCTGCCCCGCCCCAGCTCAGCATAAAAAGACTGCTCCCCAAATTTTATTGTACAGCCACCGACCTGGGCTCAACCCCCGACGGGGGGTGGGAGGAGGGGGGTGGCGGCTGGGAGGGTGTGGGACAGGAAGGGGCGACGGCGCGTGGCGGCGGGTGTCACACGCTTAAAGTACACAAAGAGGAGGTCGTGTGCCGGAAGATCAGACGTGGATGTCCGCGGTGTGAAAGAGGGAGGACGAAGGTCACGTGTGTTCCAATGGAATGTGTGATCTTTGTCAGGGGGAGATCTATAATTTGATTTTAGACGCGCACGCTTTGTGACATTAGGGAGGGGGAGGGGGGGTTAATCGTGTGTGTGTGTGTGTGTGTGCGCGAGAGAGAGTGTGCGCGCATGTCGGTGTGCAGCTGGATGCAATACAGGCGAGTTGGGGAAGTAATCAAGTTTCTCTGGTCTTCAGTTGGCTCGTATGGAAGCACATGTTCATCATTATCAGTATGTGTAACTGCTTGTATGTGAGCCTCATGTTCGTACGTCCTACCGTGGGGGGGCAGAGACGGACTGTACTGCACCTAATGTATGTGTCTGACATGATGTGGGGGGGGTGGGTCCATCAGTCTGATTGGGAGGGGGGGGGGTAAAGGAAACTAAACTGACTAAGAAGCGTCTGGTTGTTGTGTTCACTTTGTTACCCAAACGTGGAAGGATTTGTCTGCTAATTAACCCATAAGAATATTTGTGCCACTTAACATCTAAAAGAGGTAAAAACTGTTTTCCTGCCTCATTGGGCCAGATGTTCTATATTATATATTTCTTTGCCCGTTTCCCACATTGGTTTATTTGATCTGGAGGGCTCACATTCTAAACATTCAATGTTTGCCAACGTTTGCCCACATGTGTGAAGGCAGTTTAAAGGTTTGCGTAAACGATTCTATATCCACATTTTAAAGTGTCATATGCAATTATTTGCATTTAAATTTGTGTGCGGCGGTGGTGAGGTCTAAACCAGATCTGCAGGGGGTTCAAACCGTGTCAGCAGGAGCTTTTTATTTTTCCTTTAGCTTTCAGACAATCAAAAGAAACAAACTACACCGATCCGAAATGAGATGGAAATGGTTTTACCCTAAACCATTACATTTGATTGAAGAAGAGTTCTAATAAGGCATAGATTAAATTCTGAATAAAAGAAATGCTAATCTCACTTGTTTAAATCTTGTGGCGCTGTTTGCTGCCCTGCGTATGGGAAGAGATGAGTCAGAAAAGCAACACAACTTCCACATTTTATTCTTTTTACTACTAAAATACCAGTAAATTTGTTGTGGTTGCTTGTCATTTAGTTTTAGTCCTGTGAAAGCTCCCTCTCCTATCAAGAATTACAAACGGGTAATTGTTTATGGTTGTAAAGAATAATCTAGTGTCATTTTAGAAATGTGCATTGGCAAATATCTAAACCAGCCTGACAGACCGACTATAGACTCAACTCAGCGGCTACGCTACAGCGTGTTAAGGTTTGACTAAGAAGAAGCTTCTACCTGACGCAGTCTGCGTCTCATTCAGGTAACGACCTACGACCACGTTGCACCACATTCAGAGCGTAAGATGATGGTGTAAGATGATGGTGCTAATGGGGCACCAGCAGGAGTCTCTGGGTTAATCTGGCTGTGGAACCGCTGAAGCAAACAAAGCGGCTTGTTTCCCCGTCTGCCTGCTGGAGGGAAACACAAGCTGCTGGGGACCAAAACCTAAATAAAACCTGTAAATACAGAATAGTAGGGTTTGAGAATCTAATCCAACTCTTGATTCACTGTGTGACTGTGACGTGTAGCTTAAGCCACCATTTACGCCCATACAGGTAATCGTAAGGAGTTGGCAAAGATACTTTGAAAGAAAAACCTAAAATGCAAATTGTATAACGAATCTCAATTTGGAGAAGCACTCATCTTATTACTTATTGTCCAGCAGTTGGTCTCCCGCTGCCATGCTGATGAGAGCCTTGAGACTGAACCAAAACCAAGGCGCTAAAACGCCCAGTAGCGCTAACGGAACTCCAGCGACCACGCTCAGGGGGTGATGACAACACGCCGCCCTGCTCCCACCGTACGGCTGCTTAGGGTTTCTACTTAACACGGCGTCCTTAGCTGGCGTCTAGAAGCTAACGGCGCTAGAAGAAGGAAACGTGTCTAAACGGGGTTTCCCTGAATGGAGAAGGTGATGTAGTTGTCAACGCCACAACTACAAAGCTGATGTCAAAGCATTTACATATTTAAATGAATGCTATGTATGTTTGCTTTTTAATACCGATCGGACCGTCTATCATTACTGGTCTGAGATCAAAGTGGGCAGAATGTGGTCCCTTACCTAAAATGAGTGGAACACCACCGGTCTGGACAGTCTTTTATTGTTTGGTCGATCCCTTGTGTCACCAAGGCTGAGGTCAGGGATCTCGGGCTTAAGCAGGTTGGTGACCACTGCTTAACAGACAGTAGTTGTGTATGCTGTATTAATGCTCAGAACGTTGTACACGGTACCTTTAATGGAGCTAAACTGGTCAAAAATAACCGTCTATGGTTCTGGACACTTACCTTAAAAATCAATTCTGATGAAGCATACAAATCACTTTGTAGATGATAACTAATAATTGTTTTTAATAATCAGTTTTCAGGTGCTTTTACGTTAGACACTTATTTGTTCATACAAGTAGTACGAGTCCAGTACAGGAAGTAGGTAAATCCAGCTCCACCTTTCAGCTACAGCAGTAAAATGCTGCTCGCACAGTGATACATGCGTAATAACACGATCAGCAATGGAACACTTGAATCAGTGCTTTTTAATGCAGGACTCATCTTTGTACCTTGTGTCGGTGTCTTTACATCTACTGTGGACCTGGCACTTTCGTTACCTAGAAGTCCAGGCTCTTCCTCCACTGTCCATGGAGCCCAGCAGTGTGTGAGCAAGGCGCCGCTTGAGAACGAGTAATAATGAGAGGCGAAGTACAGCCAAGAACATCCTTTTATTCAATCAAGTCAAGGTGGTGATCTTTTCATACTGTTTTTTTCTCTTTATTATTATTATGGAAAAGAAACTGTAATTAACACATGCATTTCACCATGGGCTCTGGGGGGGGGGTTACGGGGTCCTGATGGAGGAGGAGCAGCACTCATGGTGGGAGGGGGGCAAGGCCGGCCGGGGGGCCTCAGTCTACACTAAACACGGCCCAGCATCCTATAATACGTGATAAAAACAAAAAAAGAATACCACTTTTTAAAAATGAAACAGCGGACGGTTCGACAACAAGGTGTGACTGGGCTCTTTGAAAGGCGCGGGGGGGTAAACGCACACACACAACCACGCACGCACACACGCGGCCCTGCGCAGCGCTCGTCTCTACTATGGCTTCTCAAGCTGTGGCGCTTTTACTGGTCGAAGGCTTGATTGATAATACTGCTGCTGGCTTCATTTGCATGATTGAAGTAAAAAGAAAAAATAGTTGCACGCATACCATTTTTTTCCTTTATTTCTAAATGTATAAATCACTTTTGCTGGTGAAATCCCCCCGTTGCTTTTCTCTAAAGTCCCCTCCTACGTTGTTTTTGTTCCGACTGACTTTCTGGAAGCGCTCTGTTAGACCGCGGCGGGTCGGCGTGTGATCGGGTTACATTTTGGGCCTTTCAGTCGCCGGCTGTGGAACCGGTCCGCTTTATAAGGTGCTTCAAGTCCTTAAAAAATATGAAATAAGATCAAAATAGCTGGTCGCATTCAACCACTAGAAAGGTGCATAATTGAAGATCTCAACGCAGTAACAATAACAAAAAAATGAAGAATCAAAATCCAAATTCAAATATAAAAAAAATAAATAGATAGAAACAAGCATTACGAACAAACTTGCCTGGACTCGCAATAAAACTGGACGTCTCGCATACGGCCCGAAACCCCCAAGTTTTCCAAGAGTGCTCTCCTCGCTCCACAGGGGGCCGGTGGGTGGGAACTATTTGTTCGCTCCGCCCCCCCAGCAGGGGCCCAGAGCCCCGTGGTGTAACTTGTTCACTTACATTAGCTGTTGAATGGAGAAGCTGAAGAAGATGGGTATGGTAATACAATGTGAAAGCGTACAGACAAGAATAACATGTGAGCTAACTGCATTCTGCTCAGACAAAAAAAAACAAAAAAACAAAATTCTCCGCGTATTCATTTTTTTTTCAGCCCCACTATTCAAGAAATGGGAGAAAGAAAGAGGGGGAGGAGGGAGGATTACGCCGCTACAGACTACTCCAGTGTCCGAGATAGACAGAGACAGATACGGAGGAAGAGAAGCAAGACATCTTTTTTTTTTTTGCCTTTTTTTCTTTTTTTTAGCTTTCTTAATTTTCCCACCCCAAAAGAGGACAAATTCACCCCAATGTCCCTTTAGTACTATGTATCTGCTGGTCAAGCTCCAAGAAGAGAAGAGAAAGATATAGAAGTATGAAGAGGGGGTTATGGGGCGGCGGCGTCTTTATGTGTTTTTATTATTTTTTGGTTTCTTCGAGATGGGCACTCGGGATTACGAGATGGAATCCTGGAACAAAAGCCACTTTTCAGGGACGACCTTTAAGATGTCCTGAGTCTATAACCACTACGTCACCAAACATATTTATATTCATTTACAGTGGGAGATTCTCTGGGGGAGGGGAGGGGAGGGTGGGGGGGTCACTTGAATCGACGTCTATAGTTCCCTCTCCCTGAGCCAACCAGGACGCGGTCACGCCGGAGCACGAACGGAGGCCGGCGTCGCTCCTTCCTTCGACCGGCAGCACGTGCGCCACGGTCTCCGGCCCGCGCGAGGGTCTCCGGCCCGCGCGAGGGTCTCCGCGAGGGGCGGAGACGAGCTGCTGTCACTACGACTGCTCTGTTAGGGTGTGTAGGTTGGGGGGGTGGGGGTTTGCATTTTGTCACAACAACCTTTTTCAGAACATTACCCTCCCCCCCCCCCCCACACACACACCTCACCGGTAAAAAGAAAAAGAAAAATAGAATAATGCATGTTTTCCTAAAATGTGCACTTAATTTTTAGATTATTACAATTTCTGTATAATAGAGATTGAATGTACTTTATTCTTTACGAGAGCACCAGGTTTTCATAGTGATATATATTTTTACGAGTTGCAAAATTGTTCCTTCAGCCCTCCCACATTTAGACAAAAAAAATCAATGAAGATTGACTTTTCATTCCTTTAAAAAAAGAAAAAATGATAAATGGAGGACGAAGAAAAGAAGAAAAAACAACAACAAAAAGCAAATTTAAAATACGGTTTTCCCAAACTTACTTGTAAAGACTGGGATATTTTTCTCGCCGCCCTCGTATTTAGAGTCCCGGAGCATGTGGACTTGAAAAACAACAACAAAACAACAACAACCTTGGAGGGGGTTTCCCCTCTTTTCTCGTGACACCCCTCAAAACAATCGCTAACAAACAAACACAGTTCCTCTACCAAGGCATTGCACATGGCTCAATCGACATACATCATTTAGTTTCAAGAACAATACTTCCCATCAAAACAAGAAAGAAAACATCAAACCCTAATCTTTTTTTATCGTTAACCTCATCGCCGAGCGCGACGTCTTTCCGAGTGGGTTTAGAGACTGCTGCTTGAGCTCTAGTTGGCCGGCTGCTTTTGAGATGCATCCTATGACTGCGCCATGTACGCCATGCTTCAAAAAATAACTAGACTGCCACGGAGCTTATCTTGCAAATGAAAAAACAAAAAAAATGTATATATCTATAAATATATATGTGTATTATATATAAAGATGCTTGCGATTATCTAGTGAGCTGTCGCCTTTTCCTTATTTCCTCTCTTTTCCTCCCTTCTCTTGACATAAATGTGTTTTTTTTCACCATTCGCTATAGCTTATCTGTGAGAAAAAAAAGAACCTGAATTCATGTTTGACAAATTGCATAATGGGAATACAGAGGCACTTCCATAGATTAGAAAAAGCAATCGCTTCGGCCGCCGCTGACGCCTTCACTCGGCGGAACTGGTTCTCTCTCTACGAAGCCGCCGGTCGCCCGACTCGGTCGGTCAACTATGTCGTGTTTCCCTGCAGTGAAGAACGTGGCCAGGCAGTCCAGTTATTTTGAGAGGTCGGATGGGCGGGTTTCAACTTTTGACGGGGGAGAATCGGAGGGAACGCGTGCGGGCTGGTGGTGTAAAACAACCATAAAGGTTTCCTCAGATTGTCTGTTTTCTTTTCTTTTTAAGACTTCCCTTTGAATTGAATTCAGCGGGGGTGGTAAGGGGGGGGGTGGGGGGGGCGTAATAGTGGTCGGGTGAGTTACGATGCGGCGATCGGGGCTCTGCCAGTGGGATACATCCCAGTGACACATCCACTCGAAAAACACTCGAGTGGTGCGCAATCGGTCAGACAGTCGGCTGGTACGATTGTATTAGTGCAGCTTTTGATCATCAATGGCTCATCGATTCACAAATAGTAAAGGGGGGTGGGGGGGGGGGGGGGGCGCTGGTGTGTGAGTGAGTGCGTGTGTTGGGGGCATTACCGTGGCAACCAATATCCTGATCCTATGCGCCGAAACAAAAACGAGCACAAACTGGGGCACATGGGTGATCGTCGGCCTCCTGCTGGCCTTACAGGCCCCTTCGCTCCGCTAACAGCCAGATATGTCACATATTCATTTTGCTCCACAGTGTGGCTCCCTCTGCTCTTGGAGCAGCCGGCCCGTCTGGGAGTGTAAACAACAGGGTAAACTCTAGGGAGACTCTGGGTCCCGTCTTCCAGCAACCTTCCCCTCCCTTGCATCGGCCTTTTTTTTTCTTTTTTCACCCATATACCACCACCACCACCAGCGGGGTTGCCCAGAGCGAAATAGTGGGGCTGGGGCTGGTGTTCCTTTAGCTTTCTGTTGACCTGTGGGGTTCAGCAGGTACGCTGCCCAGGAAATGGCCTTCCTGTGATTGTCAGAATCCTGCGTTGTGGGCTCCTCCGGGTACAGTAGGTGGCAAATTTCTTAACGTGGCTCTGAGAAGGAAAGAACCAGTTTGACACTGAGGGAAAACCCACTTCTCTCTTTCCTTTGCTTTCTTTTGCCGAGAGTTCGATGAGAAGATCAAAACCACTCGCAAGTTTGTCCATTAAAGATGAAGGTATGGGACGAAGCCGCTTAGCTTAGCACAATAACTGGAATGGGTAAGAGTTCGATCGACAGATGGTTCATCCAATCACCTCCTCAATCAGCGTCCAAAGACGTCTCCTCGGATGGTTCTGAGGCACAAACCCAGGTTGGTCAGGTTGGTACTGACGCAAAGGGCTCCAGCAGAAGCTTCGAACCTTTGTGTCCTGCTAAGCTAAGCTGCTGCTCGCGGCAACTTCATATGTCGTGCACATAATTGAGCGGTATCGATCATCTCGTCCAACTGTCGGCAGAAAAGAAGCAAAGCAAAGAGCACATTCCCCAATGTCTCTCTACGTTTTGGCATGTACCACTTGGTCCAGGTCAGCTGACCACCCTGTCTACACCGCTTCAAAATCCCATTGTGTTTCTCTATAAGGTGCTGTCATTCAAAAACAAACAATTATAAAATAGTACAAATCCAAAAAAGGAATAAATTCAAATAAGAGAACACACAAGAGACAAAATCGATCATCTACATCACAAGAGGGCAAAGGGGGGGAACCAATAGCTGCTGCCTAGAGCCGCCAGTCAACGGCCTCTAGCGATGTGCTCACGTTGGGACGTTTCTAATCAAACAGGTAGAGTGAGCTCACTGGGCTTACTGGGTGTGAGTGGGAGGAAATGACTCGACACCAGTACAATCCAAAAATGTGTGTGTCTTTGTGTGTGTTGTCATTTATAAAATATTGGCTGTGGTCGTGGCACAGATTGTGCAAGTGTGTGCGTCGCATGCGTAGGGGGGTGGGGGGGGGGGGGTTGTGAGAATGAGCTCAAATGATTGGAAGTGAGCGGCGTGGTGGGGGCGAGGGGGGACACGCGGGGGCTCCCTGCCACCTTCTTGGATTTTTTCCTCTTTAAAACTCTTTAAATAGACACGAGCGGTTCACCTACCATGCCTTGCAGGTAAGTAGTGCACATCGTTGAGATTAGTGTTAATTGATTCAAGCTCCCAGTGCAACCCTCAACCCAGATGCGTCTTGTCATGGTCGCTCTCCAGTTAGTCGCACGCTAAAAAAGGGACTTTGTGGTCAATTTAATTTTGTTTTGGGTGAAGGCGGACTGCAGCTTTCATTGGAAACCAAATGGCGCGTTTGCTTGGATCGAGGCTGTGGGCCGAGCTCGAATGTTGTGTGAGAACAAAATTTGTTGTGTTTGTTTTTCGATTCCCCCCCCACTCGTCTACACAACGTGTGCTGGGAGAAGCTGACCGTTCTCCTGTTCCCCGGCTCCTCCCGCGTCGCTGATGGTTCGGTGGTGTTTTGTGATTCTATTTAACTTCTTTGAAAGGAGAGAGCTGCTTTGCTGCCGTTTCCCCCCGTTGACCCTTCTTCATCCTGGCGTCCTCTTCCTCTCCCTCGTCCTTCCGTTCATCTTTTCCGTTGATCCGGGAAAAAACGTCTCGTCACTGCCGACCGGATAAATGAGTCCAGAGTTCCTCTAAAGAAAGCCGTGCTGCTGTGGTTTTTCCTGTGCCGCTTGGTTGTGTTTTTTGTGTCAGGGGGGGGGGGGGGGGGGTCCTGGAATAGCGCTGGGGTTGGGGCGGTCGTTGGGTGGAGGACGACTGTTTTCTAAATCCGTTTGTAAAGAAAGAATTGTAGTTGTGGGTCTGTGCACAGATCTTGTCAGAGGAACCAAGACTGTAGAAGAAAAAAAGGGGGGGGGGGGGGTCATGTTAGTATCAAAACTAGTAACTGCGTGGTACACCTGTCTAATAGCCCCTCCTCTTACTAAATGTTTATTTGTAAAAATAAAAACATTGACAATGAAAGCCAAGGCAGATGCTAAAAGAATCGTGATACCCCAAAGGTCACCTTTATACTCTTTATAGATCTATAATAATAATTCACCGTCCGAATCCTGCCTTCCATCCATTGAGCCCCCACTTTGAAGAACACCAATGCAATCCAACACTTGGTCCTGACACATCTGTACTCATCGCAGTGGTCGGTGGTGTAGTACTGGACTTGCTTGTATGAAGTAGGCTGCTTGGCCTGCGGGATACGGCGCCATGTGCTGGTACGCCAACATTCTACCAGTCGAGCCTCGGAAACTCCTCTGCGGCCTTTTGTTTGACCCCCTCTCCCCCTTTGCCCGGCCCTTATGCCTCCTGCCCCCCCTGGGCACTGTCCCAGCAGGCCTTGGGCATTGTAACTTCTCCCTTCTTGGTTGCTCGCGTTCTCTCTCCTGCACACACAATCCATCCGTCTCCCGTGAAACACTCCGACTAAATCCTTGGCAGCAGACAGTGACCACCCTCTTTTCTTTCCTGCCCCCCCCCCCCCCCGCCCCTCCCTCTCTGAAGTGCACCCCTCTCCTCAATTTCAAGATCAACTGGCTATGACATCATGTCTGGTTGCCCTGGGTGACGAGACGGCCGGGACGTGACTTCTGTTGGGGGCCGAAACTCTGTCCGCTTCGCTCCCTCCATCTCCACCCCACCATAGGTGTCTCGTTTCCAACCTCCTCCGGCTCGCAGGGCCTCACATCTGCCACCAGAGGGCACACGGAGCCAACTGATGTCAGCCGGGAGAGAACGAGAGCGAACGAGAGAGAGCGAGCGAGATCCTCGGCTGTCCCGTAGTCACCACATGCACACATGCTGACACGCTCTTTTGTCTGGTGATCTATCATTTCTTTTTATTGGCCCATCAATCTCTTTTGTGAGGCACATGCTAACTATTAATGCTGTGTGTTTTGGCTCTGCCTCCAAAAGTCAAACCAGACATTGTGTCCCACTCAGTGCTGAGCATCAGTGAGCGCATTCAGAAAAAAAGCACGGACTGGCAAAAAGTATGTAGATGCTCCGTATTGTTTTGGTGTGTTTTTCTTGGTTTGGATGGAGGTGACCATGGTGATATTTAAGCCTCTGCGAAAGGCCTCGTCGTCTAAACGCCGGAGGTCGACCTCGCTGCGAGGCTCTCGCTGCTGACGGAGAGATCTGTCGCAAAGCTGGAAGAGCCTTTTTATTGGCTAAAAGCCGTTTCAGGTGGTCGTTCTTTCAGAGCGAGGCGTTCTGTGGTGACATCCTCGGGTGTCCGGGGGGTTCGCCTACTTTCGGCCACATGGGGCGTTGAGTCGTGTAGGACAGAGCGATCTACACGAGACACAACGAAGGTGACGGGATGAAGGTCGGGAGGGAAAGCAGTGCAGGGCAAGAAGACGACGAGGGGAGTGAAATAGCTTGAGAGGGAGAGAGCGAGGGCAATAACGTGTGGAGGAACGGGGGGGATCGACGGAGCGGTTTCAGATGGTTTCCATGTGTTCCGGAGCAGAGCTCGGGGCTGAGTTGGCTCAAGGTGGGTGTGGTCGGACGCTAATGAAAAAATTACCGGTGGTAACGGAGGGAAGATACAGAGAAGGCTGTGAGAGGGAGAAAGTGCAAGGCAGAGCGAGAGAAAGTTAATAATAGGGAGGCAGGGGAGGAGAGGGGAAAGCGGGGAGGGAGCCAGGAGAGGGAGAGAAAACGGGCAGCGAGGGAGACGGCCCTCGGGCGCAACATGTGCCGAGTAAACAAGGCGAGCACATATGGCAACGCGCGCACGGGGCCGAGAAATGCAGATGCACGAGTGCACGCGGCTGTGGGGCGGCGTGGAAGGAGAGGCGCAGGAAAACACGCCAGCCGGTTTTCAGGGGGCGAGGGAATTACAAATATGTTTCCACCAACGTCCGTCCGCTAAAGGAGTTTTTTCCCCCCCGCAGTTGGTCTGGGCTCCTACCTGCGTCTGCTGCGGGATGTTCAGAAAGTTGTTGTCCCGTGATCCGATGCCGACAAACCTGTTGGGAGCTGTGGCGCCTGGCGTGGAGTATGCTGGGGAGAGAGAAGAGGACCAAACTGAGGCGTTAGAAGACACGCGACAGCATCAAAGCAGTGGTTCATGGTTATTCATCTTTCTTACCAAAAGCGGGAGGAAACGCTCAGCTCTGCCGGCATGTCTGCACGGCAAAGACGACCACAGCTAGCGGCCGGTTAGCTTAGCCTGAACACTAGCCTAGCTCTTTCAGAAGCTAACAAAACCTGCTGCCCAACACCATCTCACAGATAAATACAAAATATTAAAAGTGTAAAAACCACACATATGTTCAAATGACATTACGTGTTAATTTGACAGCCTGCAGATGGACAGCCGTTCAAGGCGTCTGCCCCCTTCTCCTAGTTTCTTTGCTAAACTAAGCTAAGCTAACAGGCCGCTGGCTGTAGTCTCATAATTATCCCACAGTTAAAAATGTCAAGCTAGTGCCCCAAACTTTATAAGTAGATGCAGATAAATCAAATTAGAACTAGAGACAAGTATTTCATTGAGGTCATCACAGCTCAACAGAGAAATTTGCCAAAATGTGGTACACAAACTTAGCTCTTCCCGAGTGATTAAATCCTGCTGATAAACTCGGCTGGAAGTGATTGAGTGCACCAGAATCCTGACGTCGAGGATCAGTGAGGGACGTTTAAAGCCCACTGGCATCAAAGTCTCTGATATATTTAGGGCAGTCTGAAACGCCCAACGGACTGCAGCGCTTTAAGCTCACCCAGGGATTCAGGAGGCAGTGTGCGGACTTGTGTTTGTGCGGAGGAAAAGGAGGGAGGACAAGGAGGAGAGAGACAGAGTGAAAAGATCATGTGATCCTGTGTGTGGACATATACAGTATACATCCACGTGTCTAAGAATTGAAATAACATACATAAGACATAAAAAAAGACTTTGAGACGCTGACTGGGGGGTAAGACGCAAACACTAAATTTGAAGAAAAGCTAAAAAAAAATAAAGAAAAGAAAAGTGCTCCATCCAGTGCCCCTCCTGTCAGAGGTGAGGAAGACAAATGTATCGAGAGGAAAGCTCCACGGTCGGATTGACACCCCTTCACCCTAAAAAACACCCAGTTCTGCTCAACTATCATCCAGCAAAAAAGATCCCACCAAGAAACTAAAATCAACTCAGCCAAAAACAGCACAACTACATTTTTTACACCACCGGAATATTTGGAGTCCATTTAAACTAACTGTCCTAAATGTGTGCTCGTCACAAGAAAGGACCAATAAATACTCCCAAATGCCTTGGTTGGCTAATGTGTCCGTCAACGGGAGGAGAGGAGGATCTAGAAGGAGAAGCGCTGGGTCGGCGATCCAGGGTCCACACCAGGCGACGCAGTGTGGCCTGGACAGGTAGAGTGGGCCTAACACAGAACCCTGATGAACACCACAGGAGTCCACCATGACACACGTGTCTAACCACACCTCTGGCCGCCCCGATCTACTCTCAGCTCCACAGAATATCCTGTGCCGGTTTCCGTAGCCTTCCGGGGGGGGCAAGTTTTGGGCCTCACAGCGACCAAGATGGCCACGGAGTTGGAGGAAGAATAACGGCAGGGGTCTTTAGACTAGAGCGGGGTCGGAGGGTTCAGATTGTTTTTTTGTTTTTTTTAGAACGGTCTCTGCAGGGATCACTTACACGGAGATGTGGGCGAGGAGAGTCCGCCGTCAGGGGGCGTGCTGTTGGGTTTAGAGTCGGGCATAGGGAGGGGCACTGGGCGGGCCACTGGGGGAGGTGGAGGCAGCAAGAAGGAGCCTGGCATTTTGCTCTGGCCGCTCCCGTTTGGCTGCAGACAATACAAACAGGGTCAGGTGGGCGACATGCGACAATCCGCAGACACGGAATGACAAAAAAAAAAGAGAAGAGGACGAAGCTCGGGAGGCCGGGTCCAAAAAATGTCCATGAGGGGTGGGTGGGAGTGGGGAGGCGATAGTGGAAGGGGGGAGAGGAGGTGGTGGGGGGACGACAAACCAAAGGATGTATGTGGACGGCATCTTTTATGGAGGTGTGAAAACATAATAACCACCATGGGAGGTGAAGCGGGATCCTGGGGTGAGCGGTTCCACTGGGGGTGTGGTCCGGGGTGGGTGGAGGGACTGAGGTGAGCAAATTATGCTCACTGGGTTCGTCCAGAAGATGGCAAGAAATCAAAAACCGATGGGAGAATACTGGCCTACACAAGCACAACACAACCAACGATACCGGCACCAAACAACCAAAACGCCAACTGAAAAACCTACAAAAGGCTACAGATGGAAACAGAGACACGATGACACAACACGGGGCGGGATGCTTGACTGAGGTGGGCCACCGATTCACTCTCGTGCTGATGGTTGTATCTTCTGAGGGGGTTGGGTGGAGCAAAAACAATGAAATCAAAGAAGGAGGAGGAACGTCTGAAACAGCAAACGGCAAAATGGACATTGACAAGACAACACGAAGATTGGTGGAGCAGCTGAGTAAACAGATGTGTGTGTGTGTGTGTGTGTGTGTGTGTGTGCTTGTGTGTGTGTGTGTTCACTGGAGGTGTGTGGAGTGGATTCCTGTGCATTCCTCTGTACAGTATGTGGACGGACAAGACCATTAAGAACCATCACCGCAATGAGGCGCTAATAGGGAAGATGCGGAATGTTTAAATTCCCCTTTATGAAAAGGGTTAGATGGATAATTTAGAGATTAGTGTCAAGATCTGCAGTTTTAAAATTGGAAAATCTTTTTTTTTTTTTTATTCAGAAAAGGTAAACTTTGACCATTAATTAAAACAAATTAATACAGTTGGGACACCTTTTCTCGTTCAACTCAATGAGAAAATGTGTGACTGGTACTGTAGATTATGTTGCTCAAATTGAGATCAAGATATTCAAGGCGTCTGATAGAGTAGGTTGCTTTCAATGAGATGAGTTACATTCACACAGCAAAATATAAATCAGACATTTTTGAAAAACCTTCTGGAAATCTCAGGAAGGGAAATAAAACCACACTGATGGTGTTAATTGCTGTATTTGTAATAGCGGTTGACTTTTCAAATCTTTATTATTACTGTCACTTAATTTTCCTTCAATACACACATTTTCCCACTAATATTCTTCTTTATTTTCTACCTTCAGTGGTCTGTTAGCTACGTCCATGATTGCTACTGCAAACACTGAAGCAGCTAATGCGAGCGAGGTGTGGCTCATCTGCCCTTTTCTGAATGAAAGGTCACGTGTTTTCTTAAAGCGACAGCGGCCTCCTCTCCTTACCTGTCCGGAGGCCTGCCCCGAGCCATCGGCGCAGACGAACTGCACAAATTCCTTCAGGGGGTCCTGTCCAGGGTGGTGGTGGTAGCGGATGGTCGGGTGGGTGAAGTAGGGGCTAGACTGCTGGATGATGGAGGGAGACGGGAAGTGCAAGGCCGAGGCTGAGGCACGGGGACTCCCTGCCAACAGAGACACTTCTGTTAGAAGGGCACAAGCGGGAAAAGGTTGCTGAGAGCGGGAGGACGACGCCGACAACTCCTGCACATTCTCACAGACAGGAGGGGGGGGGGGGGTAAGGGTGAGTGCAGCAATACCACAACTGGAAGCGGTGGAGCACTGATCTGGTTGGAGAAATTTCCAGGGTGAAAGTAATGTTGTTTTTTCCAAGAGCGGCGAATTTTAATAGCATTAGGCATTGCTCATAATGTTTGGTGTTTCATGTTTTATCACTCAATAAATCTACACGGCTTATGGAGGAGAACACACAAACACACACACACATTTGTATTCATATGTGCACAATCACGGAGACCACACTACCGCATTCGCACCGCGCGCATTCAAACGTGCACAAGTTCAATCGATGCGGCCGCGGCGTGTATTTTGATCACCAGAAACCCGAAGCGGCTTGCGAATAGAAAAAAGCACAAAGAGATCATCGAGTGCCGTCTTAAATTAGACGGCCTTAATGCCCGCACGCCTGCGTGCCGTTCGAGGCTGTGATTCATCCCCGTTGAAGCAATTTGGCATCCAGAAGGCAAAGCCATTTGTCATCTGATACATTTTGTTCCATGACAGAACGAATCTGTACATTCACACCGTGTATCCACATTTATGCTTTTCTGTCAATTTCTTTAAAGCCTCATTTCTGTAGATGTATCAATATATCGATATATAGTTATATACCTATAAATAGATATATAGTTATATATCTATATATAGATGTGTCTGTGTGATTGTACACGACAGGTGGAGGTCTGCAAAATTGATCAGCATTAGGCGGCTAATGAGCTTATGAAGAAAAAAGCTCATTCCCCTTTTTGTTGCTTTACAAGAGAGGAATTCGCAGCACACAGAGCTGCATGTATGTGTGAGGCGTGAGAGGGGAGCAGTTGGTGGAGCAAACACAAAGCCCTCTCTGTCGGACCCATATCCATCACTAAATCCCCTTGATTTGTATTAGAAGCCTGTTCCCCTCTTTGCTGTGCCAGTCTGACACCCACCCCGTCCAATGTCAGGCCCCCCAGCTGCCCATGTTGGGCTGCCAACAGTCTTTGGTTCTTATACACTGTGTGTGAGAGTGTACTTCATGAGAGTGCCAACCCCAAGTTGCAACCCCCCCACCCACCCCCAGACAAGGGCCTGTGCTTCTGAGCCCAGCAACACCTCGCTCCCATGCCAGGCTACTTGCTCCCCCCACGGGGGTCGTCTCCTTGCTTCTATTAGTCCCCTACTAATCCCATTAGAGGTGGAGGCCAAACACACTGGGGCTATGGGGGCAGGTTGGGTTAAGGATGGGGTGGTGGCGGTTGGGGGGGGGGGGGGGCTGTAGGGGTGTCAGTTGCACCCCTACAGCCCAGTCAGATGCACTGGATCAACATCCCCACCAAATAACACTACTGATTGTACTGAATGAAAGGCATAAATGTGTTTTGGTTGTTCCCACCATGTATCCATCACTTTAAGTGGGTGAATGTATTATTGAATGATTTTTTTGGGGTGGCTCTGGTGCTGCCCCCTCCCTGTCAGCCTCTTCGTGTGGAGCTGGTACGTAGGTAGGAGGGACGAACTGTAACCCGAGACCACAGCGAGCGTCAAGCCCGAGCGCCCTCCTCCGCTCCACGCCGCCGACCCAGAAAAGCAACAACGCTGATGATGTTGTCACCACTTTGAGCGTGCACAACGGTATAAATTACAACTGGTGGCTGCAACAACGACGGGATACTGTGTGTGTGTGTGTGTGTGTGTGTGTGTGTGTGTGTGTGTGTGTGTGGATTGCCTTGTCTGTAGCGGAACTCAAGAGGCAGAGGGTCTGTCAACGACTACGGACAAAGGGCAACCTCATCGCTTCACAGCTGCTCGCCGGCCTGAAGCCTTTGGTGGAGTTTTGAATAACTACGTCCAGCGAGCTTCCACACTGGGTGAACTCACAGTTGGGAACTTTGTGGAAAGAAGAGTAAGTCTTCTTTTTAGATACGTGCTACATGATAAAATAAGGAATGATGATTTATTGCCGTTTGACAGCTGATGTTATCGCGAGTGGCTTGTTTCAGCCCGGCAGAAGATCAGCGAGTTCACACTGTTTCTACACTTGGCGGTAGGAATAAGGAACTCATTGACATTGAGAAGTCAATAAATACATTTTAAAAAAGGAATGGGAAAGAAGATGTGGAATAGTGAAGTGGAGAGATCCGTGGGCGTCAGCCAGCTCTCTGAAGCGCGCTCCTCCGACGAAACGTTTGAAATGTCACATAAGATGAAGATTTGGACACACTTAGACCCCAATGTGATTGGTCCTCATGACTCCCGATATGGCCCAGATCAAGTCATGTTGTGCTTTATTGGTGAACACTAAATTACCAACAAATCAACACAGACAGTGAACCCGGAGATGTGGAGTTCATTGTCGTTCGTTGGTTGGTTAAGATTAAAGGCCCCAGTGATTCGGTACCGTAGTTGCACAAAGATTCAAGATCCCAGAACTGGTTGAACCCAAAGCAGGAGGAGCATCAACATTTTGACCTTCAGTCTCAGCTTAGTTGGGAATGAAGCTACTAAAGCGCTGAGTCCCATAATGCGACTCAATCGCACCTTTCAATAATCCCCCCTTTTCTCCTAAATCAATATGAATATCTAACCCCCCTGAAGCTGGTCACTGATGAATGTATTTTCTTTTCTCAGCAATTTCATACACTTTTAATCAAATCAAATAATTCTTAAATATCTTAACGTGTTTTGAGGTGTGGCCCGGGCGAGCTAGTTCTAATACAAGTGTGTGATTATTTACTGCAAACTTTTACCGGTAAGAGTTCCTAGAAATACTGTAAAAAGAAAAGTCACAGGTTAGAAAAAGATGACCCCCGGTTACTCAGCGAGTAAACAACTTGTGATTCAAGTGTCACATCATCAAGAAAATAATAAGAGCGAAAGCCTCAAAATCAGTGAGCACAGAACAGGCAGCAGCGAACCCCTCTGGCCCCGCTCCGCCCCCTCCCCCCCTCCCGAGTGGAGGAACAGACATCTAGAGGAGTGACCACCAAGCATCCACCACACACCCAGAAAGGACCCAGACTCCCCAGGAGCTCCGTCACCAGCTCCACCTGCACACTGCGGGCTCAGAATGACCGGCCCCTCTGCTCCCACCTCTCTGCTGGGGGAGGCACGGGGGCCCTGAAGAAGTGGTTTGGGGGTGGTAGGCGGAGATGGTGAAGGGGGAGGGGGGGCGGGTGGGAGGAGAGGAGGGAAGGACACGGGCAGGGGGTCGATCAGGGGGATCTGGAGCTGGGTTGGTCTCACCTGGTCTCACTCCCGCCAGCATTGGCAGTGGGTGGTGGGTGAACGCCATGCGGGGGGGCCTCGTCTGGGAGGACAGGGCGCTGAAATCGTATTTCCCCGGCTTCTTAAGAGAACCAGGCGACGAGAGTCCTGGCAAAGAGGGGATCAACAAAGATGGCAGAACAGAGACGAGGTTTTAATCAAACATGCCTGGTTGGTTTTGGTTGTCCTAATTCATTTCGACTCCTTCAAAAAATTGAAATTAAGCTCAGCACTTAATTAATTTAATTTGATTGCAAGAATCGAATGATTATGATTGAAATCAATGTATTGATCGGTCGATTCATCCATTGATTTTTTTTGATTGGCTTGACATACAGATGGGTCTGTCACAATCCGTCAGCCGGTACTCGGTGGGCTGTACCATGTCGGCCACTTCAGGGGGGGCACGGGGGAAAGCAAGGTTTAAGGGTCCTGGGAAGACGCCATGTTTTGAAGCAACAGGGGGGTTCAGAGTAAAAGGGGGGTGATGGGAGCGAGGCGGGAGGAGGGGGACTGGGGACAAGCAACGGCGGTCCATCTACGGTCACCAACGGAGCGTCTGATAACCCCCCCGTCCCCCACTGGTTTCACTCACGGGACACCTCCTCCAAACTGTCCGACTCGTCCCAAAGACAAAAAGATGATGTCAGCCTCAGACTCGCACGGCAGACGCTGCACTTGTCGGGGAGCGCCGGGCGTGAGCTACGCAACCACACCCTGCGGCAGAGGCGCCGCAAAAACGCACATCGCCGGCTCCTCTGACGCAGCGCCCTTCTGCCGTGTCCCACGGGTCGGGTATGTTGCTGCCTCGGGTTCAGACATGCAGTATTTCTTACGTGAGCTCTCTCTCTCTCACACACACACAAACCGCCAGCGAGCGGCAGGGAGGGGCGGAGGAGCGGCGGAGGAGCGGCGGCGGCACACATGGACCAACACATTAAAGTGCCTATAAAGGACTGCATGGCGTATCCCTCCTCGGTCCGGTTCATAGCGGGCTCGCTAAGTACAGGCCGGGCCCTCGCCGGCGGACCAGAAACATGGCCAAGAGTGTGAGAGCCGCAAAGCAGAAAAGAAGGAGGCTCTCTTCAGTGATCAAGGCCTGGTGTGGTGGGCCGCTGAGGGGAATTATTTTGATATGACAACCTAAAAGGCACTATTTAAGACTTCTCCGGGGTTAGAGGAGCGGATTTGACCCCCGATGAGGACCGCCATGTCCAACGCTCCCTGGATTCAATACAAACAGGCGAATGAGGAGGAAGTGGGAGCGGAGGGAAACAGCCTCCGTCGCTTTCTCGTCTCTCTCCAACTCGCACTGGTAGAATACGGTGCTAAACAACAATATTCATACTTATAAAATGAGCACACTCAAATAAAGGCCGGGGTAATTTGGACACGGCCCGGGGAGACGTGGAAATAGATTTTTACAAGAGAGGCGTATAAAAGTCGCAGAGAGCAGATTTCTGAAAAGCTTTCCGTTTATTGCCACACCAGGAAATGTTTTATTGCCGTTTACCCACAATGCTCACAGGGCACAGCTGTGCGACGCTGCGTGGGCGCCGACGAGTACATACAGATAAAAGACGTTCAAGCGATGCGCGCCATGTGACTCTGATACAACAAGCAGGGGAGATACATCACGAGAAGAACAAGGAAGGAAAAAAAGAGGGCACAAGAAGAAAAAAGGTTTTTATGAATAACTGAAAAGTGCAGTAAAATAACAGATAAAAACGTTTCCGTGAGATGAAAACGTTAGAGGAACGGTAGAAGCATCTAGCAGTGAGAGTGCTTCTCCCATTGGTGGCCAACAGAACAACCAGTGAGTACTCAGCAATGGTTCACAAGACCTTCGTAGCTTTGCTCAAGGGGAACTGTCCAAAGTGACCTGTAGCACCTTAAAAGGTGATGAAAGGTCAGAGTTTGCAGCTTGTTTCTGTTGCTTTGTCCCACAAGAAGAAAAGTAAATGCAGCTTTAAGTAAAAGTACTCGAGTCAGTTTTACACTATTTACTACAAATTATTCTGAATCGTATTGTTAAGATTAGCAATGTTAAATGTTGACACAGTTACATGTAAGCAGAATTGTGACGTGGCTGTAAATTCTGTATATACACGATATCTGCCTGTGAAAGGCCGTGGATGAATAAAGCAGCGCTAACTATCAAGATGAGTACCACTAAATTGTACACAACTATTACTCATGGTTCCCTTCGACCTTGAGTGATGCGTCTTCAGTGGAACTGGTTAACAGCCTGGATTTGTTTGAGGAAACATTACGCCAGCTATTTAATGAGCTTCGGCTTTGTCATCGCAGGTTGCTGTGGCAACGGCGTGGGCCTCCTCAGCTACGCCGGTGACGAGGGCGTGAGAAGCAGAGGTCCCGGGCCGAACGTGCCAAAACAACTGGAGTAGCAGTCTGAACAAGTTTTTGGGGCTGAGCTCAGCGCCGTCGTACTGCTTATGCCTCCCGTACATTTCCTTTTACACGAGGATCCAGGAGTTAAAACCCTCTCGGCTGGCGCGTGGATTCCAAACTCAACCCGGAGGCGCCGCGGCTGCGCTCCCTCTGCGGTGCGTCTAGGCAGGACTGCGAGCGAGTTCAGTCGCGAGCGGCTTATCACGCACGCAGCAGCCTTTAAATTATTTATATATTGTTTTCTGGACTTGACAATCTCCCTCTAATTAGCCCGTGTCTCTGCAAACGGGGCCCAGATGCCCAATGAAAGCTTTGTCGGATCGAGCTGACAGAAGTTACTGTGATCTCTCCCGAAATCTGTGTGTGTGTGGATATGGACTCACACACACACATACACACACATACACACACACTTGTTTGTTTCTAAATTATTTCTATGTGTCCTGGTCCTGGCACATGGCGCAAGCAGACTGGCAGCCAATTGCTCCCATGACCCTCTGGTCTTGCTGCGCTAACAAGCTGGCGACCACACAAGCCCCACCCCCCCCCCCCCCCCTTCTCCCCAAGACTGACTGGTACAGTTGCATGTGCACAAACACACACGTGTTGTCAGGTGAGGCAGACACAATGTCGTGTCCCTCGTTAACGGCCTCACACATCGTTAGCGCTCATAAACACCGAGGTAAGAGCGAGGACACCTCAGCAGCCCCCGCGCGCACACACACACACACACACACCACAGTTTTTAAGCCCACAACACAGAATAATTAGCGGGAATTCTTCGTTAATCCCCCCCCCCCTCCCTAACCCGCCAGCGGGGTTTCCCGGCCCCCCGAGCAGCAGCAGCAAGCAGGCAGAAGGGGGGAGAGAGCAGAGCGCAGCGGCATGAAGCACATGATCACCTGTGCGATACCTTTTTCCTTCAGGTGGAGGATCAGCGACGGAGCGGGCAGGAGGCCGGGAGACCCTTCCCCCTCCTTTCCCTCCTCCTCCTCCCCCACCCTTCCTCCCCGTCTCTGTCTCCGAACACCACCACCGCCGCCACCATCACCGGAGCAGATGTCTGCTGTAACCCAGCAGCTCCCTTTCGCTGCAGACACATGGAGGCGCCATCTGGAGCGGAACGCCGCTCCTCTCCAGATTGCGGGAGTGTGTGTTTTTACGTGTGTGCGAATGTAAATCAGAGAGAGAGAGAGAGAGAGAGAGAGAGAGAGATGATGTCTAATTGTGTGTTTGTGTGTGTGAACGTTGCCAGTGAGTAAGCATGTCTCGGTGACAGAAGGCGCCTCGCGCGTCGATGACACACCTTCGCGCCTTCAGTCGTGTTTGTTTGGGTCCCGTGTTTCTTCTTTTTCTTTCATTTGAAAGAGTCGGGCCCGCGGCAGGTGGGATGCCACTCGCAGCGGCTGCGTCCAAACAACCGGCTGCGTGGAGCGGCGAGCGACAAAACACTCGTTCTGTCACACGCACACACGCACACACACACGTCCTCCTCCTCCGTGTCTCTCATCACTTTCTCTCTCAGAGCTCGACAACAACATTGTAACACCCAGAGCACTTAGCCGAATGTTGCTGACAAATTCACACCGCCTTGGAAAAACTGTTTGTATGCGTGTGGTGTGTGACAACAATGTGGTGCTTCGGGGGGGGGACATGATAATGCACATAATTACACAATGAAAGCACAGCGGATTGTTTGTCAGACATGAAAGTGTGTTTGTTTTTTCTGGGAGGCACCAGGGACATGTGATTTCTTCCACAGATTGAACAACAACATCTTATGAGGCAGACAGGCGGTGGATGTTATGGAGCTGCTCGGCTACCGGGAGGCTTTGGTCAGCCCACAGCGCACAACAGCGCACATCTGGCAGGAGCAACCGCACCCAGCAAAGCCCACAGAAAGAAGAAGAAGAGGAGGTGGAGGAGAAGAAAGGACAAATGGAAGGTGCAGAAACAGCTCACAGGAATTGCAAACTTGGACGATCAACCGAGACAAGATGCAGACAAGTGGAGGGAGCATGTATACATGTACACAGTGTAATGCTTAATATAGTTCTAACCATGGTAAGGAAACTGCACTCCATCGCTCTCATGCTTAATCTTCCTCTCCTGCACACTGGCCAAATGGTGTTGCACTGAAAGGCCAAACAGGGGAGAAGGGAAGAGTCAACAATGGAGGAGGGGGAGGAGGGGAAAAGACACAGAGGGGAAGATTGACAGGGAGAAGAGGGGGGGGGGGTTAAATAACAGGCAGCAGGGGATTATAATGTTATAGAGTGCAGCAAGTGTCCATAACATAGTTACATCGTTACAGCTGGTGATATTACAATGGCAGCATGTGAGTTAGAATACGTGTTCAATCAATTACAGAATCAGAGATTATTAAGTAGATTATAAAGACATTTGACGTGGTCCATCATGGTGGATGGATGTGCTGTGAGCCAATCGATCAAAAGATTGATACTATCGTGACTCTACAGTAAAATATCAGGCTACAGCCAAAGGTTGGTTAGCTTAACGTTAGCTTAGCACAAAGACTGAAAAGAGAAAAAAAAAACAAAGTAACTAAACTCAACAGTAAAGAAGTGCATATTTGAAGCCGGAGGACGGTTAGCTTAGCACAAGCACTGGAAGCGCTGCTTTGACATCCTTCCTGACGGCAGACTATTCCAAAAGCGCAATAAAAAAGTCAATGAGCACTTTGACGAACGCTCTTTTGTTATGCCCAAAACAACTGTCAGATGTTACAAAGGGCTTTTTTATCGGGGTTGGTGGTCTTTGGACCTCCCTTTGTTCACCACCTTCTAGAAAAGACATGACCCGCCCTCCGATATGCCCTCCCTGGTATTCAATCGCATTCGAGTACTGGCCAACCAGACAGAGTAGGGCTGGTCATTTCTTTGCCATATTAGGCATAACGATGACATCATTCTCAATAATAATTAGCCCATATGCAGGGAAACTGTATTTCTGGAGCAATGGGGCTTCAGAACACGGGGCGTTGATGTCAGGATAACAGGCTGTAGGACAAATGGGCTTGTGTCCAATGGGACATCAGACTTAAAAAAAACTGTTTGTCCTATAAGAAAACAGGAAATATATTTTGTTTTAAGTCGACTGTAGAACAGGGCTGTGACGTCATGGCGTCCTTCTGCCTCACATGTCTGATCTGCTCGGTGGAGGCCGGGCGTATAATGTTGTAAGCCGAGTGTGTCAATGGAGGATGATGAGGGTGGAGGGGGAGTCAAGGGATGAGAAGGAACCGGAGGAGGTGAGCTGTTGTTCCTCATACATTGGTATCAGCTGATACCTATTTAGTCAGGAATATTTGAAATAGTTCCATCATTTTGGGAATCACACCTATTCAGGCAGTTACTTGGTAATGTCTGTATAGCCGTTTAGCTTAGCTTAGCATGAAGACTGGAAACAGCTTGGTGTAGTTCAACGTGTACAAAATCCATCTCCCAGCATCTCTAAAGCTCAACAATGAACAAAATAGTACAAAAACTATAGGCTCCAGGAAGTCACCGCACCCATTGACAGTACATATATATATATATATATATATATATATATATATACCTACTAATGCATTTACAATAGTATTTGGGAAATAATTAGAATATTAGGGCTGCAGGATTATGGCCCAAATCCTAATCATGATTATTTTGATCAATATTGAGATCCCGATTGTTTATCAGACTTTCTCTGAGGCTGCAGGGCGCGCATGACTCCTCCCACCTTGTTCTCCCTCTGGTGGTTGTCTGACTGTTAGTTGAGGAAGCGCTTGATTTGATACATAGCAGAGCACTGATTGTTTCCACCCACTCTTGGTGCTAAGCTAAGCTAACCGGCTGCTAAAAACAAAAATATCCAGAAAAGTCAAACTATAAGAAAATAGAGAAATAAATATGTTTTAGGGAATCAAAAATTTGCTATGAACACTCATTCAATAGCAGACTCAGAAGTCATCTGAAATGATGTGGACCTCGGCCCTGCTCGGGGGCGAGGTGTGTGGACAGCATGCAGGGTGCGATGGGGTTGGTTGTAGCCGGACTACCTGCATCCACGTCGTTGGGCCAACCGCTGGACTGGGAGCTGCTGCCGGCCGCCGGGGAGCGGCCCGAGTAGAAGACATCGTCCACCGGGCTGTCCATCTCGCTGTCGTCAATGGACTTGCGCTTGTTGGAGCTGAGGGAGAGAAATAGGCGGTTGGTTTACTTCGTGAAGAAGGAATGAGGATGTCTCTTACTTTGAGATTCATCGCATTGTTTTTTTCCTGTATCAAGCTGGTTTTACTAACTGGCGGTTCCCATCCAACAGGAATTCAGGGCTTCAACGAACGCACGCAGATCATGTGCGGGACATTCGAGGACAATGTACGGGCGCCAATCCCCCCCCCAGTCAGGCGTGCGTTCACATGAAATCAAGCCCAAGAAAAACTTGAAAAGTCCAGGCTTCCCTTCGATGTTATGTTGCCACAATAAGGTTTAGCCAAAGGCAACCAAGCAGCACAACTGAATCCAGTTTGTCCCCTTTGCATAAATGTGGCAGCATATCATGCAGGGGGAGAAGAAGAGCCCAGGGTCCATCCAGCGTTCTAGGCAACGCTGGAACTCATTTGTGTGCGTTTTTGCAGATTCCTACAGACTCAAACATCTGCGGTCGATAAAACAGGAGGGGGGGTGAGCGTTTCTCCGCTGATCCAACAGGGTTTTACCGTGCATTTGCTGTTGTGTGCATATCTGCGGGACATGCATGTGTGTGTGTGCGTGGCTTTTGTGAAATTGCGCCGCCACCGCCTGTGTTACATTAGTATCAAGGGAGACATTTGGTAATGAGTGCGACTACCTCCGTGGGAGACTCGCATAAAGCTCCATTTCAGTCCTGCAGCGGGAGACGGGCAGAGAGAGAAGGACGACAGGAGGGGAGAGGGGAGACAAAAGACACAAACAGAGACGGAGGGACAAACAGAACAGACAGGCAAAGGGAGGGAAAATTGTGAGTCGAGTAGAGAAGGATTAGCAGTGAAGATGGGGAAGCAAAAAGGGGAGAGAGAGAGAGACAACAATCAAAAAGCAGAGAGAGCTAAGCATAAGCAACATAGTAGAGTAAAGGGTTACAGGGGTGAAGAATATTAGTAAAGGACGAAAGAAAACAAAAAAACTTCATTGTACTTGTGTGTGTGTGTCCGTGTGTACCTGGTGGAGGGGGTGGAGGTGATGGAGCGCCGTCCCAGGGTCACCTGGTTGATGTTGTAGTAGCCGGGGCTGTCCAGGTCAGCCAGGGAGAAGTTGGGGCCAGTCGCCGTGGCCACCGGGGCTAAGGAACACACACACACACACACACACACACACACACACACACACACACACACACACACACAGAGCAAGTGTTTTTGTTGTGCTTAAATAAAGAGCCGGTATGATTTAGTTTTTCACATTTTCTCGTCTTTAAACTGTTTTTATTGTTGAACAGAAATGTAACTTGTACTGATTCAAGTATGCTTAAATAAATATTCTTATCATATGTTTATTATTGGGTTAATAATAGGAACGGCAACTATTTTGGCCAGCATTCCTGACATGCCTAATATTGTCTTGACGAAAGCAGGATCGATGGCCATGAAACTTTGCACGCACGTTCGTGCTCTTCTCAGAACGTTGGTGATGCGTCTGCTTATGAATAGCGACACTAGACACTGGGTCTTGATCAGGGTTGTAAAGTGGAACCGAAAGCTTGAGACTGGGACAAAGCCTCTGTTGTTTTTTAAGAAGTAAAAATGTTAAATATCTGGCTATGACTTCCCCGTTCTGCTGTTGGTTGGTTGGTTTCTCCTGAATATGTTGACCATTACAATTAAAAAAAAAATACAAATGATAATTTTGCGTAACAATGTGGCTCATTAAATGTTGAAGAATAGAGCTCTAGAGCCCAGAGTAATCACACCAGCCTTATGCTTTCAACGCTACTGGCTGTAAGAGCGATGGTGCTATTTTCTCCATTACGGTGTTACCAGAAAGCGACCAAACAAGGTGTACAAGGAATGGCGGGGTGAGTGTGACTGCATGGAGACGGACGCGGGGGTATTAGAGCCGTGACTCACTCTGCGACACTCGAACCAGCTCAGCTACGTTCCAAACCCCAGAAGTCACAAAGCAGTCCTGGAAACTCAAGTGGCCTGTGAAGAAGAGAGAGGGAGAGTGTGAGAGAGCGCGCCGCATGTACCAAACAAAGGGAACGATTTGTGTCGGACCAAGTATTTTCCATAAGATTTTGGATACAGTAACGTGGGTGTTAATTTCAGCTCTTCATTCAGACACCTTGTTAGCTCGTATCAAACCAATGAGCTATCCAGCTAGCTAAAAATTGAGCTAGCTAACAACTGAGTCAGCTAACCTCTGAGCTAGCTAACAACTTAGCTAGCGTACACCTGAGCTAGCTAACCTCTGAGCTAGCTAACAACTTAGCTAGCATACACCTGAGCTAGCTAACAACTTATCTAGCATACACCTGAGCTAGCTAACCACTGAGGTGGCCAATGTTACAGCTCGGCACAGGAGGATGCCATAAATGTTGAAATCTTGTTTCAGCCATGAGTGCATGCACGCTTCCCTCTGCACAGCTGTTTTAAGATGATTCAAATTCCCCACAAACAAAAGAATTGTCAAAAATATCCACAAAATGATGTTCTCACAAAGTAAGACGTACAAAGGCACGCACAGCTCAATTTTCCAAATAATGGGCACACACATTATTGGTCCAGCATGACTTTGTGTGTGCGCTGTGCTAAAGTTTTGTTAGCCTCCCTGAAGTTAACTTTGTTCACCCGTGCTCCATAATGTCCACATCCATAATACGCTCTGTAGTGTGCGTGTGTGCAGCACATCCTAAACTCCACGGTTGAGTGAACTCTAAATCCACATCGGTCCTCCTATTACTCCCTCCCTCCATTTGTCCATCACTCCCCACCTCCCGTCTTTTTCTCTTCAAACCGCCTCCCTTCACTTTCCTCCATCCCTCCCCTTCTCCTTGCGCTCCATCCGCCTGCAGGGTTAACCGCAGGGGGGACCTTGCATGAGGTCAGCACTCTGAGGCGGCCATGTGGTTCCCATCTTCCAATAACGTCAGTGTGATTTATGAGCGGCCCGCAAGAACACCCCCCCCCCCCACCCACACTATGGTACTATTGACTTTCCTTACCATAATAAACTGAGACCCAACTCTCCCGAGCCCCCCCTGCTCACAGGAGAGGCCTGGTAGTGAGTGTATGTGCAGGTATGTTAGAGTCCATTTACTGCAGGTGAGGCTGCGTGTAGGCGCAGGTGTGTTACACATTTTAAAAATGCATGCGCAGGCGGGAGAAACTCACCATTTGGCGGGGGCTTGACGTCTGTGTCTCCTTGCTGGTTAGAGTTGTCTGATTGTCCCGATTGTTCTGAAAGACAGAGGGAGAAATATGTTTAGTCAGGTGGACGGACGTCTGGTCACCACCCAGGGGCAAAGGGGGCAGGTCAGCATCAGGGGGGAATCGGGCGCTTTCGTTTATCCTTCCCACTGAAGAGAGACACCTGAGGCCTGAGATTAAAGACGCATACGTTCATACGCTGGTTCGAAAGTCAGAGGAGGTCAAATCTTTGTTCAGTTTTTGAGGTTTCTTTTTGGCTTTACCTCGGATGGCATCCCCCGTTTGTGCTTGTTTTGTGCTGTATAAATTGGTTTTGATCCACGTTGAACCTTTTTATACACACCGTTTTATTGACGGCCTTCGAGCCCGTAAACCGTCCAAGAAGCCTCATGTCTTCCTGCTGCTGAGAGTTACTCGGTAACTCCTCAGGTGAGTTTACCTTAGCGTCTATGAGCGCGAGCGGGCAGGGCGCCCTTGCTTTTACGGGCCTGGCTCCCTGTCTTCTTGTGTAATGCGGCTTGGAGGATTTCTTTTTTTTTAGCGGTTGTATCATGTACGGCATTTGGGCCAATTACCCCTCGCGGCGCTGAAGCTTTAAATGCCGTCCTGGACCTGGTTCCCCCGAGTCTGAAAGAGGCCCCCTCCTGAATGCCCAAAACGGCATCCTAATCTTAGGTGGCATTAGTGGCAGCGATGTGCCAGAAAAAAAACACACGCTGCACCATTCACCACGGTTTGCCAAAAGACAAAGCAAGACAACAACAACAACAAAAAGAGACAAACTCAATCATCACTGTGGGTTTCAAATAGAGAGGAGGACCGTGGACACAAAGCGGAGAGTTATTGTTCTCGTCCACCATGGCGTCTTTCTCCCTGGTCTCCTCTTGCGCCTCGTCCCGTCCCTGCTTTACCGTTTCTCTTCCTTTCTCTCGCACGCTGTCGCTCTCTGCGGAATCCTGGCAGCCATCTTAGCGCTTTGGCAGCCATCTTAGCTTTGGCGGTAGCCGAGCATTCCTGCTAGCTGACGGCACACCCCCACACACACACACACACACACACACACACACACACACACACACACACACACAGGGAAAACACACATGCTTGCAAAGCAGACCCTGTCTTTCTTTCTTGCACTCAGACCTAATGGTCTTCAAAGATAAAGAGACCCACAGCGGCTACGCAATGCTAACGGAGTGAGGGTGAAACCCACCGGGACGTTTGTCCTCAGTCCTGCGAGGAGCCTGGTTGTTAGGGAGACTCAATAAAAACTACAAGTGATCACACACGCATATATGTAAAAATACACAGAGGAGTACATGAATCACTCAAATGAGGCGACAGTGTAGGACGGACCGAGAAGACACGGGGCCCGAGGCCTTTGGCGGCGCTCGGCCCAACACGGTGCTCCCTATCCGCTGGCTCCAGTGCCAAGCGTGGAACTGCCGTGCGAGGGAATAAAATAAAATAAAAATATAGGGGGAGGTGATTAAGGGGCGGGGGGCTGTTATAATGGGGGAAAGACTGTGATAAAAACCTGCGTGCCTCAAAAAGAAGAAGACAAAATCTCCCCCACTGACACACGGTCGCGTTTTCCGAGCCAAAAATTGGGGTGCATAGTTGTCATGGCAACAGGGATGGAAAACAGGCCCACCTAAGGATGAGTTGTTGTCAAAGCCTGCGTGTGAGTCTGGTTCGCTAACTGCAGCGGTCTGCGGGTCAACCAACGGGACGGCTTTCATTCCCCCGGGAAACGAGCTGCGACCCAAAACCCGACGGGAGCCTCGAGAGTGAATCCGTCCGGTGTTTCCTCGGCCCTCAGTGGAGTCGGATCACAACTCTGTGAGCATTTAGTTTGAGCAACCTCGACAGACAAATAATACAGGGTGTGCTCCGGGAGGGACTGAAATCTAATATATATATTTATATCATGAATTGTGCTAAACGTGTGATTTTAATTTAGTCTGGTCCAGATCATTTGTTGTAGAGCCGTCATGGCTTTTATCAAGCTCGCTGACCAAACTACTGTACGCTCAGTTATTCTATCTGCAATTAAGCAAAAGAATGATGGGGGCCGTGATGTTGGTGTGAGCACGTCCTGGTGACGGACCCACCAATAAATACGCCTTTAAACAACGTGTAACCACATGAGCGGGGAATCAGTAGCACGCTGGTTGGAGTGCTCGTGCACGGGTAGAAACGCCTTGCTGAAGCCCAAACACACACACACACACCTTTATACACGGATGAATCAGCCTTATCTTCTTCACACAGTCGCCCCAAGGCCCCCTGCATACGCCTCACCAGAGATAATACAACACACACACACACACACGGGCCATCAAACGCAGCGCGCTGTGGAGCGAGTTCATCTGGTTCCTTGGTCGGCTGAATGATGAGCTGCTGTGTGTCGGCCACACATTCATCACGCTGCCGACGCAAACCGATAACTCACAGGCGCGCTAATGTACACACACAAAGATCACACTTACTTAATCGCTCCATTCATCAGACGCAAACAAACAAATAAAAAGACACGCCGCCACACACGAACACAGAGACACGACCGAAGACAGACGAAAATCATTAAAAAGACGCTTGAAACAGTGCACACATGTTCGGCCGCTTGGTTTCCTTGATGTCGAATATTCATATAAACAAGTGCGTTCTGCTCAAACAGGCGCCAATTTGCCAAGCGGCACGGAGTGTTTGTTTGTGCGCCGCGTGCACACACACACACACACACACACACACGTGTGCGTGCCAGCCCCTCCGTAATCTAATAGGCACTAAGTGAAAGAGGTTTTTCCAGGCAGACGGTAAATAACCAACAATGATCAAATCAAATTTGGCTTTGGGTGTTAAAACCCGATGAGGGTGAGAAGGTTGGTTTAGCAGATACCGTGTGTGTACACGCGCACACACACACACACACACACACACTATCCCTCTCATACTGTATCAGCACCAAAAACATGCAGCCAGCAGCTGGTTAGCTTAGCATAATGCCTGGATGAAAACAAGATGACATCTTGGAAAAGCCTTGGCTACAGATGATGAGAGGCCCCCTCCTGCAACAAATCCACCACTGTTCCCTCCCGCTGTATCTGTCTCACCCTTTACCTCCCCCACCTCCCCCACCTCCCCACCATGCGCCCGCCACCCAACAATACCCTCGGCCTTTACGTACAGGTGTGCCGTTGTGTGTGTGGGTGCAGGCTCCGGGTTCAGGTGCGACTGCAGCTGTGGTGTCGAGTCTGTGTAGTGTGCGCGTGTGTGTGTGTGTGTGTGTGTGTGTTTGTTTGGGGGGTGTCAAAGCCCTGATTGGATTACAGTGCACATATGTAGAGATGTACTAAATATAACGGAGCATGTACGGAGGCGGCCTACAGGCAGACTGTCCTTATTGACACATAAATACATATTTATATATAAATATATATATATATATACACACACGCACACACATGCCCCCCCCCCCGCCTCTGGATAGAGAAACCAAACAGCCTCCCCAATTGGGTTTCGCTTAAGAGGTTTATCAGTATGTTGCTAAACATTCTGACCTTTTTTTAAAAATCTTTAATGCGCTTAAAATGTTACAACCCCCCCCTCTAATCCACGGCTATCCCACACAGATGTTCTCTCGGCTCTTTTATTGGACTTAATTTCAACCTCTTCTCCGTTCCTCTTCTCCTCCTCCAGACTCCACACGTCTCTCTTCTCTCCTCAAACCCCCCGTCCCGGTTTCATTTGTTTCCGGTTTGGAAACAACTCATCACCTTCAATCTTCCACCAGCAAAGCTCATCTTTGCTTTTTTCCTTACTGGGCCTTGAAGCAGCTGATTGGTTGAGCAGACCGCATCTGTCTCGTCAATGACCTTTGACCCCACCTTCTCCCGAAGGTGCCAGCTGAAGGTTTTTGTTGGACGTGTTTCATTAGAGGATGTTGGATTTTGTGTAACGAGACAAAGTACTGCGCATTCGGGTTGAGGTTTATCTCAGTTGGGCTTTTCAGTGTGTGGGGAAGCTTCCCAGTAATGTGATGAATATCGTATCCAAATCGTTTTTGGTGGGCGGAAGTATGTTTTAGCGCCCATGGGCATTTTTGCTGTTTACGCACGCATACCACAAGCGGTGCAGGAACACACAATAACAATCTCAAACTCTTACTTGTTCTGTGAGGTCAAATGTTTTGAGTTTTTTAAAAAGCACACAGAAAACAGCTCTCGATCCCCAAAAATGTACAAAAATGTTCTACATAGAAAAACAGTTGGTTTTGGCTTTCAGGCTAAAATCCGTGCTGCCAGTTAACGTCAGATCAACACTCAGCTCTTCTCCCGTCCGACTTATAATAAATAGTTCCAATCACATCCTTCGGCCACCCTGAATACGCTGAGTGACGCGTGGACGAGCCGCCTGTGGCCTGCGATGAATGACCGCGTCCTTCCAACAGCACTAATGTCCTGTGACCGGAGAGACGGCCCGCTGGCTCTCAGCGGAGCGTTCAAAGACCGTAGGAGTAACACGCTCTTTTTCTTGTTCTTGTTTTTTTCCTCTGGCTGTTTTTGCCGCTCTTCTTGGTGAATTATTTTGGCCTCCATATCCGCGGCCTCCCTGTCGAACCAGCAGGTTCTGCCGGTCCCCTCCGGCGCCGCACGCCGCCCTGTGCTCCGCGTTCGGCGTGCGGAGAAACGTGTGTGTGTGTGTCTCCACGTGACAGCGTGCGAACACGCGGGCCCCGGAACAATAAACACATCCCTCGGTGCATGTGTGACGTTCATGTGTGTGTGTGTGTGTGTTTTGGGTTTGTTTCTTTTTCCATGCGGAGCACATGTTGAGATAAAGGCCGTAAACAGCTCTGAGTGACAGGCGGAGAGTGGA